TGACCCTGTGGACCAGAACATGCCAGTACCGGCCCTGAGGTTGTCATGGTAAAGATACTGGAGTGGTTTGCCATTTTCTTCTCCATGGATTAAGCCAAATAAAAGTTAAATGACTTGCCCAAGGTCAACTAGTAAGCGTCTGAGGCCAGATTTGAACTTAGGTCTTCTACACTCGAGGTCCAGTGATCCATACGCTGGGCCACCTACCTGCCTCCTAGGATTCTGTAAAGAAGAGCTAACACGTCAGGGTCAGCGATACTTTTTTGTTTTTGTTTTTGTTTTCCCTCTGAAGGGATTCTCTGCCTCCAATCATCAGCGTCTACCAAAAGACCAAGGTTTCATGGGACGTTTCTCTCCTGGTGATCCTGCTTTAGTCTGCTGAGTCACGCATTTTCTCATCATGGTATTGTCAAAAGTGGACACAAAGTAAAAGCTAAACAAGAAAGAAAAAGGTATTTCACATAAAAAACTTTGCAGATTTCGAATAGCTAGGGTAGTAGTTTCAGAGAAATCCATCCTTGTTAATTGTGTGTGTTCCCAGCTCCATTTCCACAACATCAGTGAGATGTGGAAAAGGTATTACTTTCATCAGAAACAGAAATTTGCAGAAATGCAAACTTATTCTTTAGTCTATGAAATGAATATTTGATAGCACCTACTATGTTCTGAGTACTGGGCTGATTTCTGTGGAAGAAACAATGTTCAAGGCACAGTCTTTGTCCTCCAGGTTCTGGGACCCTGAATTATTAGGATATTAGGTAAGACATTGTCAGAATAAGAGGAAAAATGGGTCACCGTAGAGCTTAGATATGGAAAAGATCAAAGGCATCGACAAAACCTGATATACTTTTGTTTCCTGGCTTTTCATTGGCCTAGGTATTGTTCAAGTTTTATACTGCCTATACTGGCTAGACATCAGTAACCTTCCAATATCTTTTTGTAGATTTTCAATAGCTCCCTCAAGAAAAAATCAGTCTGTTTGATGGATTAATGCAGCAAAACTAAAAAAGGTTTTTGTCAAGGTTCTGGTCTAAGTATACCTGTCTCTTCTTCAAAATTGCTCAAGATACCTATGTTATTTTTGCCATATTTTTTATTGTTGGGCAGCTGCAGTGGGTGGGACCTGACCCAGACCTGGCTGGTACCTCACTTTCAAGATTAGAAGGAAAAAAAGCGGCACTTGTAGTCTATATGTGAAAAAAGAAAAAGAAAAAAAAGGAAGTTTGTTTAACCAAAATAGGGGAAGACTATTTAGAGCAAGGAAAGTCTATTAAGCAAGGACACGCAGCATTGATTCAGTTGAGCAAGCCTCCCTTGCCTCTGAGTTGTCCACCATGGCTCACAGTCAAGTCTCTTAGGGCAACTGGAGCTCCCTGTGGCCTTTTTGATACTCAGACTACTAGGAAGCTGCGTCAGTGACCCAAGCCTTTTATCCTCTGATGGTTGGTTCTGATACCTTTTAAGGATAAAAACTAGTACAGCCCAAATGTAAAGGACTCAGATAGATATTCCTTCTACCAGATGCTACTCCTTAATGGCAAAGTTCAAAACATTTTCCAGAGGACCATCATCACTTAAAGGGTTGGGCTGTTTATTGGCAAATCTAATCTTAGAGACACAAGAAGCCTGGCATGGGCAGCACTAGAAAGAAAACTTAGAACATAAAGAAAAGGGAAAAACATAATGAAACAAGCCATATGATGTCCTCCTGAAGGAATGAGGAAGAAAGTCCAGAAATCTCCTTTCTAGCCTCTCCCCTCACTCCTAGAAGAATGGACTTCTGCATCTAAATGATCTGGTATATGTGATGGGTGATTTCAGACCTTCCCAGTTCACAGTAGATCTCCTAATAAAAGAAATGGCCTTGAGCAAAAGCAGCACCAGGAATATCAAGGCTATAGGCCCAAACCTGGACCCCCAGTATATCTGTCTATCCGTACACATGTATCCATGTATGTTATACATATTAATTTGCCTCCATCTATTTACAGTGGATAGAGTGCTGGACCTGGAGTCAGGAAGACTCATCTTCATGAATTCAGATCTGGCCTCAGACACTTACTAGTTGTATGACCCTGGGCAGTCACTCAATCATATTTGCCTCAGTTTCTTCATCTTTAAAGTGGTCTGGAGAAGGAAATGGCAAACCACTTCAGTATCTTTGCCAAGAAAATCCCAAATGAAGTCACAAAGAGCGGAACATGATTGAAATGATTGAACAGCAGCAATAATTGCACTCCAATTTTTGACCAATGGATTTTATGAACATGTATGTTAGTTTCTATGAAGTTATTAGCGTATATAATAATCCTTTCAATGTGAGGCAGTTTTGTTGATATATTGTCCTGAATATCAAAAGATATGTTACATTCTACAACTTCTACAGTGAATGTCCATTTTGGAGTTCATGGGAGCTAGTGCAATCACTGAATGCAAATTAGTTTCCTTTGTTGTAAAATATTTATTTTTTCTTGGACTTTTTCCTAATACTTTAAGCTCTAATGCATGTTCTTTGATATCAAAATTGCTTCTTGTTGAAATAATTATGATCCAAAAGATTAGGTCTTTCTGAAAGACAGAAATAAATGGATTTTAATAGTACAGATAATATTTTCAGTAAAATATCTTTTTAACATAAATTTGCAGAAAATATAAAAATTTCTGTATGAAGTGTATACAGAGAATCTAATCTAAATAAAACATTTAAAAGATTTTCATTGAGGTCATGATCTTTTAAAGGATTAAATTATACATGATTGTAATATATATATGGTATTTGATATTTAGTTGAGAATTATTATTGCAATTATTAATATCCATGTTGGTCTGATGTTGATTAAAATTTTAATACAACAGTAGGGCATTAAGGAGTTATAACAGATGGAAGGGTAAGCTTTTTAGCTTAATTGGAAACTATTAAACATGAAATAAATGGGTTCATTTTGCAGAATAAATAAAATATGTTCACAAACTCATGAAGCAGAAATGGATGTATTAAAATTGCTGGTTAGGGCAATCACAGCTCACATTCATATACGTGCATAACCTGAATATCCTTATGACATTGACGATAAATGGAAAATGGAAATAAGTGTTTTTACATAGGGGACAGCCCCTGCAAAGGCAGGGAGATGGGAAAGGTCTTGTCTGAGGAACTCTAAGCAGGCCAGTGTAGCTGAATCATAGAGTGCATGGAGCGGAACAAAGCATGAGCCTGGGAAGCTAGGAAGGAGCTGGGTTAGGATGATGGGGTTGTGTCAAACAGAGGAATTTATGTTCGATTCTGGAAGCAGTAGGTAGCCACAGGAGACCACCGAGCAAGTGTTCAGATGTATCCTAGAAAAATCCCCTTGGCAGTGAGTGAAAAACAGATTGGGATGGTGAGCAAGTTTAGGCAGGGAGATCAGTTTAGGAGACTCTTGCACTAGTCCAGTTGAAAGGTAATGAAGGCCTAAGCTAGAATTGTGGCCATGTGTGTGGAGGGATGGAAATATATATGAGAAATGTGAAGGTAGAAATCATAAAACTTGACAGCGTATTTGCTGTGTGGGGTGTGTGAGAGTGAGGACTAATAGATGGCATTGAGTTTGTGAGCATGACGCCTGGTGACTGGCAAGGTGGTGGTATCCTTGACAGTAATGAGAACGTTGGAAAGAAGAGAATTTTGGGGGGAATGAAAATGCATTCTTCGTGCAGAGTGAAGTGAGCAGAAATAGGAGAATACTTTATTAGCAATTATAATAACAATATTGAGAAAAGCAACTTTGAAAGACTTTAGAACTCTGATTGCTGCAGCAATCAGCTGTGAGTCCAAAAGATTGAAGACAAAATGCTGAGACGTACATTTTCAGAAAAGGCTAATGTGGGAATTTATTTTGTTGGACTGAGCAGCTATGTACTGAGAGCTTTATTTTGGAGATTTATTTTTAAGTGCAGGACAGTGAGATAGATTAATTTAAAATATTTATAGTTTCCTCTTTCTGGTGGTTCCTCCTATTGGTTCTAATTCTTACTCAGAACATCAGTAATGTGAAAATATAGCCCATAGCAGATTGTGCGCTGTTTTGGGGAGGGTGGTGAGGAAGAAGGGGGAGAAAAATTTTAAATTCAAAAGCATATGGAAGTGATTGTTGATAAATCAAAATAAATTAATAAAAAAGAAAAAAAAAAAAAAAAGTAAAGAAAGATAATGAGCTCTGTTTTGGTTATATTGAGTTTGTGATGCCTACAGAATGTCCAGTTCCAGATGTTCAAGTAGCAGCTAGTGATGTGTGATGTCCCTTGGTAGAGTCTAGAACTGGCTGTACAGACCAAAGAATCGTCTGTATGAAGATGCTAATTAAATCCCTGGGGGCCAGGGAGATCACAAGTGAGATAGAAAAGAGGACCTGGGACAGAGATTCCAGAGTATCACAGTTGTTTCACTCCAGGTTATTACGTTTCTTCTATATCCTTACTGTTCACTGCCTCTCACCCTTTTATGGAGTTCTCTGTTCTCGGCTCAGCATGTCACTCTAATCATCTCGTAATCTCTGCTAATCAATGGTACTTAGTTCTAGCTTCAGGGATTCATCTTTTTAGGGCCACCAGCTAGCCTTCCCAGCCCTAGTTTACTGTAGTATAATGACTAGAGGCCTCCTACTTCAGACTGACAGCCATTTTAAGTCACTAAAGTATCACAGAATGCCCCAAGTGGCAGATAAGGTTAAGTCTTTTCTTCTCAATTAATTTGTGTGAGGCAGAGATCATAGTCCTTTATCCCAGATAACCATCTGACTTAGGATTAGAAATTCCCCACATCCTCTTTGGTTCAACATGAATATAAATTTGAAACAGAACAAAAGGTAAGCAGAGAATAAGAGATTGTTTTTCTACCTCACTAGTCTTCATTCTTACTTTTTATCACATATATCTGTGGACATCAGATCCTGTAGCTAGTGAAAAACCTTGCTATATGTTATAAAATGTTTATGTATGTCATTCCAAATTTCATTTTTCAGGATGCTCCACCACCAGGCCACTATGATGTTCAAAAATCTTTTGAGAAATCATATGGCAAGCCTAAATACATGCCACCTCGCACTTGTATGGCCAGAAAAAAGCATAACTCTTTCCTCAGTTCAACTCCTAGGAGTTTAGAATAAAGAAAGATGGGCCAGGTAAGATCATTACATATGTTTTAAAATAAAACTGTAATTGGAAGTTCTATAAATTATTCTTTTCTTTCTCTTCTTTGTTTTTACATATTTTCATAAGTTCATTATTCAAGTAATTAGTTTTTCTTTTTAAATATTTTTCTAATTACATGTAAAAACAATTTAACATTATTTTTTATTTTTATTTTCAAATTTTCTTCCTCATTTCCATCCTTCCCCCCTCCTTGAGAAAGCAATCAATTTGATATAGATTAAAAATCTGTGGTCAAGAAAAACATATTTTTATATTAGCCATGTTGCAAGAGAAAACAGACCAAAAACCCAAAGAAAAGTAAAGTAGAAAAAATATGCTTCAATCTGCATTCAGACTCTATCAATTCTTTCTCTTGACTTTCATAACTCCTTCAGGAATAATCTTAGATCATTGTATTACTGCGAATAGCTGAGTCGTTCACAATTGATCGTTGTACAATATTGCTGTTACTGTGGACAGTGTTCTCATGGTTCTGTTCAATTCACTTTACATCAAGTTGATAAAAGTCTTTCCAGATTTTTTTGAAACCATCCTGCTTATCATAGTAGCTTCCTATGATACTTTGCAAATGTTTAAGAATATACATTTTTTTTACATTAGAAGGAAATAACTATCAACAAGAAATGTGTCAGTCTTTTTTTAGATAGATAGAAATTACTTCTTCAGGAGAGTTGATCCCAGATTTTAAAATTATTATTCAGTCCTAAAAGTATGAATCTGCCTGAGGATGTTTTACCTTTTTTATGTTATCAGAGGAAAATCCAACTGCCAAAGCTGATAGAAAAAAATGTGTAATTCAATTTTTAAGTCTTACAGTGTTATTGTAAATATATTGAAGTATTGAAATAAAAGTCAAGGAGGGATTTCCTCTTGGAAATGCAGGAGGTAAAAAAAGTTCAGTGGCAAAGACTTGGATTTGTTTAAAGGTTTGCCTGTCATTAATTATGGCATCTAAAACAAAGTCTTCCATAGTTATCATGCCAGCCTTAAAAGGTTATTTTTCTGGGCTGTTTTCAAGCTATAGATGAGTGATCTTGACCCTGCTACTTTTGACTTCTATAACCTAGAGAAAATGAGTTAACTTCTCTGGGCCCCAGCCTCCTCAGCTGCATAATGATCTTAGGACTCTGTAGAAAGAGAGATGTGCTTCCTAGTAAAGGTCTTGAAAATAATTTTAAAGAAACTTTAAAATAAAATCAAATTTTCTAGGGAGTTATAATGATCTCATAATCATTGTGCCCTTGTCATAGGGAGGAACCCCAAAACGTGTCTCCCCCAATACTACTAACAGCACTGTAATTCAGTTGTTTGTACTTCAAAAGGAAAACATTGAATTGTAAATTAAAAAAAGTGACTTTGCAAAGTGATCGACTATTGTGTTGTCACTGTACAGCTAAATCATTACTCTAGGTCCTTCATGAGATTTTGAAGAAAAGGAATGAAATAGAAACTCCCTTTCTCCATCAGTTTTAAATTACATGCATATGTACACATTTGTTTCCTGCCAAGAAAGTAAGATTACCTGCAAAGACACTGATTCTCGGACACTGGGTTTATTTTTCCCTGTCTTGCAGGAGTGGTAGCCATACTGCCAACAAGGAGGCCCATTTTTAGTTGAAATTAATTTAACCCTTGTCACCTTCTCCTCCCTGACCTCCCTCTGGTCCAGCTGTTGCTACTTATCCTTATTATGCTTGGATTCAATTTTCCTGGGATCTGGTGCCTAAACTCCCTTATGAATTAACAACCCCCTCTCCTGCCCCCTTTCCCTCATCTCTTCTCACCACAAGTGGTGTTCACCTTTAAGACAGCTCCAGCAACACAAATCCATGAACAGTGTTTCCTCAGTGGGCTATCATGAGCTTCACATGACCTTAAGATTTCCTGCAGTATTTATTCATTCATTCACCCATAAATTATAAGACTTATTGATAGCATCCAAACTAATGTGATGAGTGAAAGATTCTGAGCATTCATGTGCCCTGACTTATCTTTTTAAAAATGATATTTTATTTTTTTCATCGATTACATATAAAAATAATTTTTGACATTTTTAAAAAAAAGTTTTGGATTCTAAACTCCCTCCCTCACTCCCCAGTCCCCTCCATGAGATGATAAGGAGTCTAATATAGGTTATACATTTGTAATCATGTAAAACATTTACATATTAATCATTTTGTGCAAGAAGAAAAATGAAAGAAAGAAAGACAAAGAAAGAAGAAAAGAAAGAGAAAAATAGTTGGCTTCAGTCTGTAGTCAAAGAACATCAGTTCTTTCTCTGGAGGCACATAGCATTTTTCATCATGAGTCCCTTGGGATTGTCTTGGATCACTGTATTGCTGAGTTAAACTAAGTCATTCAAAGTTCTTCATCATACAACATATTGTTACTATAAACAATGTTGCCCTGGTTCTGCTCACTTCACTTTGTAGCAGTTCACATAAGTCTTTCAAGGTTTTGCTGAAATCATCCTGCTGTCATTTCTTATAGCACAGATAATATTCCATTTCATTCATATGCCACAACTTTTTCAGCCATTCTCTAATTAATGTGTATCACCTTGATTTTCAATTCTTAGCTACCAAGAAGAGCAGCTATAAATATTTTTGTACAAGTAGATTCTTTTTCCCTATTCTTTATCTCTTTGGTATATAGACCTAGTGGTGATATTGTTGGATCAGCGCAGGTATGCACAGTTTTATAGCCCTTTTGTCATAGTTTCAAATAGTTCTTCAGAATGGTTCACAGCTCACCAGCAGTACATTAGTGTCCTAGGTTTCCCACATCCCCACCAACATTTATCACTTTCCTTTCTTGTCACATTAGCCAGTTTGATAGGTGTGAGGTAGTACCTCGAAGAGTTGTTTAAATTTGCTTTCTCTAATCAATAGTGACTTAGAGCATTTTATCATACGACTATGGATAACTTTGATTTCTTTGTCTAAAAACTTCTTGTTTGTATTATTTGACCATTTATCAATTGGGGAATGACTTGTATTCTTATTAATTTGACTCAGTTCTCTATATAGCTAAGAAATGAGTTCTTTATCATAGATACCTGCTGTAAAAATTTCCCACTAATTTTCTTCTTTCTTTCTAATTTTGGTTGCATTGGTTTTGTTTGTGCAAAATCTTTTTAATTTAATATAGTCAAAATTACCTATTTTACATTTTATAATACTCTCTGTATCTTGGTTGGTCCTAAATTCTTCCCTTTTCCATAGATCTGGTAGGCAGTCTATTCCATGTTCTCCTAATATACTTATGGTTTCACCCCTTATGTGTAAATATCACGTGCCTATTTTGAACTCATCTTGGTATACATTGTGAAATGTTTATCTATACCTAGTTTCTGCCATACTGTTTTCTAGTTTTCCCAGCAGTTTTTTCAAATAATGAGTTTTTTGTCCCAAAAGCTCAGACCTCTGAGTTTATCATACACTAGATTACCATGGCAATTTACTACAATGTACTATGTACGTAATCCATTCCACTGATCCACCACTCTAGTTTTTAGCCAGTACCACATTGTTTTGAAAATGATTGGTTTAAAATACAGTTTGAGATCTGGTATAGCTAGGCCACTTTTCTTCACTTTTTTTCTCTCATTGATTCTCTGGATATTCTTGTCCTTTTGTTCTTTTAAAATAATTTTTCTAGCTATATAAAATAATTTTTGGTAGTTTGGTATGGTACTGAATAATTATATTATATATATATATACATGTATGTGTGTGTGTATGTATGTATATATATATATACACACATACATACATACACACACACATACACTAATGATTTATGTGGGTTTATTTTGTATCCTACAACTTTGCTAAAGGTTTTAATTATTTCAGCTATTGTTTTAGTTGATTCTCTGGGGTTCCCTAAGTATACCATCATATCATCTGCGAAGAGTGATAATTTTATTTCCTCATTGCCTATTATAATTCCTTCAATTTCTTTTTCTTCTCTTATTGCTATAGCTAGCATTTCTAGTCCGGTATCAAATTTTAATGGTGATAATGGGCATCCTTGCTTCATGCCTGATTGAATTGGGTAGGCTTCTAGTTTATCCCCATTATAGATAATGCTTGCTCATGGTTTTAGATAAATATTACTTATCATTTTAAGGCAAGCTCCATTTATTCCTAAGGTCTCTGGTATTTTTAAGAGGAATGAGTGTTGTATTTTGTCAAAGGATTTTTCTGCATCTATTGAGATAATTGTATGGTTTCCATTTTTTTTTATAGTGTTAGTGAAACTGATAGTTTTCCTAATATTGAACTAGTCCTGCATTCCTGGTGTAAATCCTACCTGGTCATAGCATGTGATCCTTGTGGTATATTGCTGGAATCTACTTGCTAGTATTTTACTGAAATTTTTTTTTGCATTAGTATTCGTTGGGGAAATTGGTCTATAGTTTTCCTTTGCTGTTTAAACTCTTTCCTGATTTGCTTTTGAAAATCCCTTTTATGCTCTCCCAGGAGTTCTTTTTGGGCCTGGGACTGAGTCACATTTTGAGTTAGGATTTATATGTTGCCCTCTTCCTAGTTTGTGCCTTGATCCTTCGTGTCACCATAGTAACTTTCTATAGTCAAGGTTTTTTTTTTCTTTTTTGCTCATTTTTTCTCCCAGCTTTGTGACTTTGTACTTTTATGTGAGAGTTGGGCTGTGCTCTTGCACTGTCCCAGCTTCTTGTTCCAGGACCCAGGGCCTTGCAGGCTTGCGCTGGGCCTCCGGGCCTAGCTGTTGGCTTGCACTGGAGGAGACCCACCCTGTTGCCTTATATTGGGGGCAAGGCCCCCCTGTTGCTCTCCCCTGGGTGTGGGGCCTTGCTGCTGGCCTGCCCAGGAATGGGGCCTTGCTGCTGGCTTACTACAGAGGTAGGGCCCCTTTGTTCGCCAAAACTGGGGTCGGGGTCTGATCAGCAGTTGGAGCAGGGCCTTGCTGGTGGCCTGCGCTGGGGGCT